AGACTCAAAAATTAAGGGTATCTGGCCTTTTTACCAAAGTATCCGGCTAAGATCGTTGGTCTGTCCGGCTTTTCGGTCTTAAAACTTGGCAACCCTAGCCGTGGTGCTGAGTAGAGCTTCGTCAACTACGCTCGCAATTTTTAATCGTTGGAAATATTTACTTTAGTACAGTACATTTCAATTAGTATAAAATACGCACACTATTATTATACCAGATACTCGTAATTAACTCATTATAGTTATTTTGATTATAGCTGAGCTTTCTTACCAGTCCGAATGGGTAAAAATAAATACAAGTATCAATGTATCACTTAACGTAAAAAAAGAAATATCCTATATCTGGAGAAAACATAATGGAGAATAAAAATGTTTGCATGCTTGCCATATGAACTAGTCCAGATTATGCAGTAATAGTACTAAAAATCTAGAAAGACGACAAATGTTGGATTTTGAATATATTAGCCAAGTTACGAGCGTTTTATAATAAGTGTGTACTGTCTGATGTTATTGACTCGAGTTAAGCTCGTTAACAATCGATTACTGTGAAACAATTAAGATATTTATGTGTACTTATTTCAAAACTAAGGTTCGTAAATAATGAAAAATATATCAAATAGATTATATTGAATTAATTAGATAAGATAAAAATGACACACCAAAAATTTTCCATCCACTGAACTCCATCCTAAGAAAACTTGTATAACGGAAGATCAAAAACGTTTAGTCGCTATACTCACAGTATCATAGTGCGAGCTAATGAATAGATATGAAATAAAGTGTCGCTCGCGTGGGTCATCGCCCGCTCGGAGCGTATTATATAGAGACCTAAATTTACAAAACGCCGAAATGTAAGAGGGCTCTTAATAACAACCTGAAAACTTTAAAGTGACTACGGAGTTATACGCCGTGCGGTAGCGACATAAGAGAATCGAATTCACCTGTTAAATTGTCATCGTTTGCCTGTTTGTCCTATGTAATGGAATGGTTGAATCGATTGCAATAAAACTTAACGAAGAAATAGAGATAAATTTAGTCTAGATCACCAGGAATGATCTAGACTAAATTTTGTCCGAAAAATTTAGAGATATTATTAAAATAGAAATATTGATAAGATAAAATAAACGCACTATAATGATTAACTTAAGTCTAAAAAAAGTCTTATAAATAATGCTAAATAAGTACTTTGAAACTGAATCCAACCTAAAACACTTCGAATAAAAAAAAAAAAAAAAAAAATTTACAATATAATAGTTTAAGCAAATGTTGATGATTATTTTGATATAAATAAAAGCAATTTTATGTTGTTAAACTTATGAAAAGGTTGATTAAGATAGGTTTACGTTTAAAAATAGTCTCTTAAGAATCTGTGGGTTCTATCAGGCAGGAAGCGGTCACGCGTTCAAGCGTTCCGTGTTCGCGTTTTGCGTTCGAGCTTTCAGTTGCTCACGAATCACGAACGCCTACGTTCTGGTTGACCGACGCGGTCAGAATGCCTGCTGTCTGGGTATGTCTATGTATAGTAATACAACACAATGAACGCAGAAAGCGAACGCGGAATGCTGGAACGCCTGTACGCCTTCTGTCTGATAGATCCCTACCAGTTAGAAGCCGTTCAGGCATTCAAGTGTTCCGCGTTCACGTTCTTTGATTGGAAGTTGGCGGTGTCTCACCTCCGTGCCTCGGAAAGCACGTAAAGCCGTTGGTCCTGCGCCTGATCTCTCTCCGGTCGTGTCGGCTTACCGTCCCATCGGGTTATGAGAGTGAGGAAATAGAGAGTGCACCTGTGCTTGCGCATTCACTTGGGCACTATAATCCTGTCCTGCGCCGATGGCTACTCTCCGTTGAGGCTGGCCGCCGTGACTGAAATTCGGTCTATACTGTATACTCTCCACGGACGTGCTAGTGGATACTTAAACTTACCAGTATGAAGTTGAAAAAACTTACAGAAAAAACTTACAAGTGTGAAACTTACAGTCAAAAGTACCTTTTTCCAGTCTTCTATCGGTAATTCCATTTTCTATGTAAAATTGTAGTTATTTTTATTGTGATAATTAATTAAGATAAGTTTACAAATATTAAAAATGGATTGAAATTGTTTTATTCATTTTCTTATTAATAATTATAATTTAATTATATAATGAGCTTTAACTTAACGAATAGTTTCAGTACACTCTTATAAGTTAATAGTTATTTAGTAATGGAAATTATTTTATCGGCTTACGGTACTTCGTTACAATCATTTTTCTGCAATATTGATTTTTATTTATGAAAGGTTATTCACCTGTTTGTATTTCGGTATAATTTCGTAGATGTATTCAGAAAATGCGATAATACTGAAGGTATAGGTAACGTATGGAACTACCATAAAAATTAACGCACCACATCATAGGAAATAAAACTAAAGCAGAAAACAAGTTTCATATATTACATGTGGGATATCATGATAGGGTTATTTCCCGGGCTTCATAGCCTAGATAAGATCTATTTGCCTACTGTGGCAACTTCGGTATCCCGTGAGCGGTTATTTTCAGCCGCTGGATCTACAATCACCCAGGAGAGATACCACTTACTAGGCACCAGATTGTCAAAATTGTTATTTTAAAATTCAATTCGAAAGAAATAAACGTAAAAGTAAAAAAAAATATTTAATTAATTCTTGTTTTCTGATAATTATTCGATAAACTTAAATGTGTAAAGATAAATAGTGTAAAACTTCCTTAAATAACATAAATATAATGTTTGATTAATATATTTCTTTGTTTCATTTCTGTTCAAAATGATTATTTATTCCATATGTATGTGTGTATATATATATTTAAAATATGATAAAAAACATTGAAAAAATCGATATATCGTACATAAGGTTTGATGTTTTATGAGCGATGTTGCATCCTATAGATGTGCTTACTTGGAAAAATTACGACTCGAGTTAACTCAAGTTCAAATTCACACAACCTGAACTAAACTCAAGTTACTTACGCAACTAGAGTTAGCAGGACGAAACACAGTAAATGATTTGTTACAACTTACAATTACTTCAAAAATATCGATTCAATAAATATATAAATACATTTTTCACTTGTCCATCCCTATAACTGAGTAAGGGTACGTATTGTTATTTATTCTGTGCTAAGGGCGTAAAATCAGGGTAGTGTAATAATTGGCGTCCCTAATTAGGGGCTACGCCCACCCTTCATTCAGGGTGGTATAATAGGGGCATTACTTTATATTAACTTACGATATATAAAACTCCAATATTGATATATTTATAGTTATTGATATATCAAAAATACGATATTTAAAAAAATATCACAGTCCATCAGAAAAAAAACCAAATTACGAATTTAGGCTACGTGGTGTCAAATTTTTGGCGACTCAAACCCATAGATAAATAAATATGTAGCAAGCTACTCGAACAGGTCTAGACTGTCTACGGGCATATACACACGTAGACAGAGAAACCTATAGACTAATGATCGGCGTGGCCTCGAGTGAGAAAGGACGATAACGAATTTTTAGGTTATACAATAATCTTTATGACTTTTAAACACGTTTAAATAAAAAATTTAATTTTTCTAAGAACTGAACTGAACAAGATTCACCAATCTTAAGCTCACAAAACACTTTTTTCTCACTTAAACCAACTTGTAAACTCCTTAAATCGCTACGCTATCAAAGTTGTTTAGCAAACTGTAGAGTTTGCTAAACAAAAAACCGGCACGGAGAAAGGGACAAACAATCACACCGCTCTATCTCATTTCTATGCAAGACGTATGCATAAATCTATCTTTTTCGTGTGCGAATGCGAAAGAATGCGTCAGTTTGTCTATAGGTTTCTCTGTCTACGTAAACACAGTATAGTTGCCGACACGAGTGGTGAGCACAGATAAACTGTGGTGGGAGGTAGGTACACTGTCGGGCAAAATTATTGGATACCTTTATTATTTCAATTCGTTATTTAATATTTTCGGCGACTTTTATGAAAATGTTTACTCGAACACATCAACTTTTACTTTGATACAGTAATGTTGCAGTTATTCGTGTCCGTTATTTTATTATCTACTATAAAGTACCTATTTAATGTATACCTGATGGTTAGAATTGATTATTTTATTAAGAAGAAGGAAGAGGTGATATGCCTTCCATAAAATCTGGTGTTGCGGTGCGCCGTACAGTAGCTACTGAGACATTTGTCGCCTCAGCAGTCTGTTTATATACGTCTATGATGTTTTTCGCAGTACCTAATTTTTTCATGTAACTAAACACTGAATAGAAAATTTGTCGAGATTGTCTATTTAACACCGAATTCTTCCTTCGCTGCATATTTAGACCAAAATCTGAACACTCAAATTATAACAACAAAAATAATTAAAAACAAGAAATAACAAAAACAATTAATAACAAGGAATACACAAAAAACAATTAACAACGAGTTAACAAAAACAATTAACGAAAATAAACTTATTAAAAAAGTTATCATTAAAATTATTGCTCTGAAGTGTACGGAAAGGTCTAGATACCAGGCCATAAACTCCAAAAAAAAATCATTATCAATTTATGGGTATGTTCCGAAATACAACGCAGTGTACTGTCCAATGCAAATGACGTATCATTTGACACTTTATGTACTAGCGTGCCGCCGCCATATTGTGTCGGATATCCGGCCATAATAAAACAATTTTTAATTGTGTGTTTACCGAATGAAGCATGCCAGAATTTGTTTCTATTTATTCAAATACAAAAAATTATAGAATAATTGATGGTATATCCATTAGGAGGATATAATGATTTTTGGAGCACAAAATGACAAAATAATCACCAACACTTTTCAAAATGGCGCAAAAGTATGACGTCATATACTGTCCAATGTTTTGGAACGAATCACCAGTTTAACGTCGATTCATGACGTCATTCGCATTGGACAGTACACTGTGTTGTATTTCGGAACATACCACCCTACCCCAATTATCCGACTTCCAGATGTAAATGTAATGAGAAGAATGACGGCTTTTAGAAAATATATAGGTAGATAATAATAAGCGTTTTTAGACCTTGTCTCCAAACTTATAAGACCTTGTGTGGTGACGGTGAAAGGAAGCAACTTACCTGCTTTTCCCGCTTACTTTAGGTCAAACCAAGTGTTTTGAGTGCGATGATGAGGAGTCGAGGAGCAGGCAGCGTCAAAAGTACAAGACGTTTGGTATTCGTCTATTCGCCTGCCAAGCATGGCGATTATAGCAAATTTCCCATACATTGATAGAGGCACATTTCCTGCAGTGGACTTTATGTTGAAAAAGAAGAAAGTAAATAATATTCTTACATACTGAAACTGCTCATAGTAAAATGTATAATTAGATTTACTAAATGTTAGGATTTTTGTTATTAATATTTCTAAGTACTAATATTACACCCTAAATGAAGAACATTTCATTCCAGATATAGGAGCAAATCTTACTGATGAAATGTATCAAGGTATATACCATACGTCAAAAAAGCATGAGCCTGATCTGGATACAGTTCTAGAACGTAGCTGGTCATCTGGATTGTGTAAAATGATTATAACTGGAGGGAGTTTAACTGATAGCAAAAAAGCAATTAGTATGGCACAATTGGATTGTAAGCATTATTTATTGTAGTATTTTCATCAGAATATAGGAATAGTACTAGCCTTTGCAACACTTACCTTGTATGTTTTATAATATTTTATTTTTACTGTGACTATTTAGCATTTCATTATTGCTCCTGCAAAACCCAACCAACATAAAATCCAACTTTTAATAAAAACAAAAACTGGTTTTCAGTTTTAACATTTAAAATGAATTAAGATAGCACATATCTTATTTTCACCACAAAAAGAAGCTTATCAGGTTTTTCAGGCATGTTAAAATAACCAATAATGTAACGGTTTAATTTATTTTGTTAAGCTTTAACTTGTTTATATAATATATGTACTATAGTCGCGTCACAGTTTAATAGCGCTGGACGAAAATGAAAGAGCACTCTGCGTAAGTGTACATTCATGCACAGATTTATGAAGTGTTGTTATAACCTAGAGGTGATTGGAAAGCGAGCGGATGAAATTCTAGGAACCAAATATCTCATATTAAAGATAAAACGAGTTATAGTTAATTACATTAATTAAAAATTTTGCACAATTGAAATAAATTGGAATCTTTATGTTGGTGATTAAGTGAAGTGAAGTGAAGAACTGATTGCAAATTCCAACCAATATTATTTTATCAGCTTCACTAGTTGTCCGATTTTTTATTGTGGTGTAAGGTTTTAATAGTTGATTCCAAGTTTTTTTGTAGTGTAAAAGGTGCTACTGCTGTTGTGTTTTTTACCTGTTTTAAATTACCAATAATTTTTGTCTTTTTTTAATAAAACAATTCATGTTGTACATCATTTTTCTAGCTTGCCTAGTTAACACTTTTTTGTCGGCATCTTTCACACAAAATGAAAAAGTGATTATTGAACATATAGAAACAATGATATGTACGACTGTACTGTAAGGGCTTTGCAACATATGAACGGAGAAAGGCGACTGAGTGACCAATAAAACGCCGGTACAGGGCATCTCTCCCTTCGCACCTCACTCCTTTCGCTAAACAGATCTATCGACTTCTGCGCATTCAAGGTCAAAGCTATTAAACCGTGACCCGACCTATATACTTATATAGTGCAGGTGTAGTAAGTACATGTAGGAATAAAATATGAAGCTAACTATATTTTTCAGCTCGTTTATTTTCTACTGTAGGATGTCATCCCACAAGATGTAATGAGTTTGTTGAAAACCCTGAAACATATTTAGATGGACTAAGGGATCTTATTGCAAGCAACAGAGATAAAGTTGTTGCTGTTGGAGAGTGTGGCTTAGACTATGAAAGGCTTCATTTCTGTGAAAAAGACATTCAACTTAAGTAAGTATTATTTGTTATATGGTCGGGGCATAACTAAATTCATGGCCTCATTTTGTTCCATGGGTGCAATAAGAAGTGGGTAAGGGTAATTATCTTATGGTTGATAGATGAGGTATAACAATCTCATTTACACCAGATCAAAATATTCCCATACCAGAGAAAGGCAGGGTGTCTGAGATTGTTAATTCACCTACCGTTGTTAGCAACTATAGTGAGTATTCTCGTTGTGAGGCAATCTTTGGGTGAGGTCTATATTCATCAGAGACGTTTGATAGACTATAATGAAAAAAAAAAATAATCACCTGCTGAAAATCTAGATGTTTTGACTTATTGATTTTACTTTTTTTGTATTTAACTGCTTTGGGGAGGAAGAATTATATTATCAATCTCCCTTTTTTTTCGTGTTAGTCCTATATTTAGCCTTCTATAGCATTCTATGTTAGTCCCCAGGATAGGCAATGCATCTGCCTATTGATTCTTAATCAATGACAGATGACGTCTGTGTGCATCAGCATCAACCTCCTGTGAGATGGATTGACTGCATGATTGCTTGTTACGTTTTTTAATGCAATAAGAATGACAAACGAGCACACAGTCCAACTGATAGGTAGTTTAGTGAAATACGAATAATATTTTACAAACTGATGAAATACGAATAATATTTTTTGATCTTACCGACATAATAAAAAAAACTGAACTGGTTATTTAAATAAAAAATCATGAGTGCAATTAGTTTAATTTAATTTTTCGTATTTTTAAGAAAAATACTTAAAAAAAGTGATCGAAATAATAGATTTTCTCACAAAAGAAGGGAATTTGAAAAAAAGAAAAGGCTTCGAACTGGGGTTACCAGGATCTTGGGACCGCTCGATATCCCATTTGAGCTATTATAATGTTAGAGGTACTGGCAAAATTTACCTTCCTATTTGATATTGTAGTTTTTCATTGCCTGAAAATACGGATTCAAATCCGAGCTAGATAGATATTGTCAAATCAGTCAAGATATATACTATATAATATCTTGACTGATCGACCTATCCTCGAGTAAGAATAAAAATGCAGATTCATTGTCACCCCTGAGTACTAAGATAGAATGCCTCATTTCCAGTTTTCTATTAAAGAAAATTTAGCATTAGTGCAAGAATTTGTAAAATCTGCAGTGGCGGCATAGGAATATTAACGTCACCAGAAAAATTTTCATTTTATTAGTGACTAGCGACCTGCCTTGGCTTTTTAAGAGTGATTTCTGGATCTCACCAACAGCACCATCCACTGGGTCTCATTGACTTTCTAAACCATACAGACACCCACTCAAATACACACAAAAAATACATCAAAATTGTTTAAGCCGTTTCACAGTTTTAATGAGACTAGCAGACAGCATTTAATTTTTATATATAAGATTGTAATAAGTTACGTATATATTAAAATTTGGAAGTTGTATTTTATTTCAGATATTTTGAATATCAAATAAAATTAAGTCGCGAATTTAATCTACCATTGTTCCTCCACTGTCGGGCAGCCGCTGATGATCTGGTGGACATACTAGAAAGAAACAAAGATAATGTGATGGGTGGAGTTGTTCACTCATTTGATGGATCTCTTGAGGCACTGGAGAAGATACTGAGCCTGGGAATGTATATTGGTATCAATGGATGGTTAGGTTTTTTTTTAACTAATATTGAAGTGACAAAGAGCATAAAAGAGCAAAAGAGAAAAAGAAGAATAAAAAAATAAAAGAGCAGTCCACCTGGTGGTAAATGGATACTGCAACCCTTGGACACCTGCAACCAACTTCATACAAAGAAGGCTAAAGTTGTATTGTTACTACTGAGGGCTAAAATGGAATGTCTCACATTCTGTAATTATATTGGTTCCCTATACCCTTCAGACCAGAACACAATGCACTGGCACATGCTGCAATTGTGCATGTGCCAGTGCATTGTGCCGCAGAAATAAGTGAGTGGGTGGCACCTGCCCTACCTAGCTAGATGGACTCCTAGGGAGAAAAGCAGTCCTTCCACATTATAGTAGTCTACACGAATCAAACCTTATTTAGTCTTATTTCTGTCAATTTATATTTATGACGGTGTGATTTTTTTGTTAGCGCAATGTGGAACCATGGTTTGAATCTGAACTGAAACCAATATTTATGCAATACAACACTTATCAAATTTTGGATCTGAATATGTTGACTCCATGACTCGACATCATGCTATATCATGATGAGAAATTCTTGTGCTTATGAAAGGTAAGAAAGAAAGACAGAACCTAAAAATAGAGATAAAATGATGATGATTAGTTGTTTTAGTTTAGTTTGTTTTATGATATATCCTGAGCAATTGGTAATGTTGTTGTAAAATTTAAATTATGTCTAACTCTTAATGCAATATAATATATGATGTAATAATAATTGATCATTTCAAGATATATGAAATCTTACATTATATTCTAATAAAATAATATTGTAATTTTATTGCGAAATTATATGCTTTTTAGTATTGTACAACTCAGGAACTCAGGATGGGAGACGCTGATGACTGTAAAAAAGTTTATAATAATATGGCTGTTAACGCTAACTGCTTCGAAATGTAGTTTTGTAATTAAATATGTATACACAAGTGTGATTTGTCAAACTGAGTCAAATAAATTATTATTATTATTGGGGTATTTATAGAGTAGTAAATTAAAATTATTGCTATTATTGTAACATATACAGCTTAGTTTGCAAATTGTAAAGACAAAGTTTATATTCTGTATAAGAATGTAATGTGTTGCATTAATAAAATCTCACATATATCAAATATTTTATGCTGCATAGCATGAAATATGTTACATGATGCTGTAGCACTAAAGGGTTGGCTTGACCTTGTCAAAAAGACCAAACTATCACAATATATCAAACATGAAAAAACAGCGTGTTTTATATAGTGATTGACGAAAATCTAAGACCTTTTTTACTTGTAACAAGACATTCCATCTTAGCCCTCAGGTGTGCCAAGGCATCTATATTGTGATTCTTAATTGAAAATAGATGTAAATATCTATATGCCAAAAGAGGCCTATAATTGTATAAAGTTATATAATAATAATTTTTGGGTCTTTTGCCTCTTAACATGAGAAGATGCAGAAAGTAGAATGAGGTGGGTAACTTATGACCGTGCTTTGTGACATCAGTGCCTATGGACTTGTAATTATGATAATAAAAATAAAAAGTTTTATTTCTCAGACAACAAGAATCTATGATTGTTAGTAAATCGTGCACTTAACTGATTAACCATTAACACAAGTGACACAAGTGTTCTAGAGACTCATTCATTAAAGCCTTTCAATTCCACTACTGAATTCATCCATCCCATTAAATTACCTGATAGGGAGAATTTCCGCCACAGTTGCCAATTGCAGATTTTTATTATTTGAACTCTTAACAGGAAAATGCTTTATGTTTTAGTTTCCTCATTCATCTCTAACGACAACCATATGATGGTAATGGAATACGCCGCCACTACATGCCAAGAGACTGCCTGATTAATATTACCTTATATTTCAGTTCATTGCGTACAAAGGAGAATTTGGAAGTGGTAACAAAAATACCACGGGACAAACTCATGATAGAAACAGACTGTCCTTGGTGTGAGGTGAAGCCGACTCATCCAGGATATGTGCATGTTGTAACAAAGTACCCTTCGGTGAAGAAAGAGAAATATTCAATTAACTCTGGTAATCAAGTGAAAGGGAGGAATGAACCAGCTAATATTGTGTAAGTATATTTATACAGTGGTGCGAAATGTAATATGGAGATGCAATTTTTTTTTCAAATGCACACAAATGTATGTCTCATCGAACTTTGGAACCCTATTATCATCATCATCATCATCAACATCATTATTGTTATTACCATTACAGCCCTTCACAAGTTCACTGCTGAACATAAGCCTCCCCCAGGGAATGCCGCAAAGCACGGTCCTAAGCCACCTGTATCCATCGGCTTCCTGCACGTCTTACAAGGTCGGCACTCCATTTAGTGAGGGGTCGCCCAACACTTCGCCTACTAGTACGAGGCTATCACTCGAGAACCTTTTTTCGCCATCGGTTGTCCGTTTTTCGAGCTATATGGCTGGCCCATTGCCACTTCAGCTTACTAATCCGTTCTACTGCGGATATCCTCGGTTATAAGTTTATCACACAGAGAAACCCCGAGCTTAGCCATCTCCATTGCTCGCTGAGCGACCTTGAGTTTTCTCATACAGCTAGCAGTGAAGGACAACGTCTTAGATTCATAATAAGCACTGGTTGTACAATCTCATTTTAATGTTTTGTGGTATAACATAACGGTAAGATGTGTCGTAATTTTCCGAACGCTGCCAAGCCGAGTTGAATCCGTCAATTGACCTATTGGTTGAAGTTTGACTTACCTAGTCGGACTATTTGTCAGAGGTAAACATACGCGTCTACAACTTCGAGCTTAGTGCTCCCAAGAACTATCGGCTATAGGTGTCACATAGACGATATACATATCTTTGTTGGTATTGAAGAACGAGGGAGACAGAGCATTGGCTTTATTAGCCTGTCTAATCCTCTACAACTAAACATTTAGGTTCAGTGTGCCTCTAACATTTGGTGATTGCTGTCATTTTTCAATCTCGCGGTCAATCAGACATCACTAAATAGGTGCCGTCTAGTCGTCATAATGAAGTAAATTTCATTTTTAGTCGAACCGTTGGGGCCTGACCAGGTCCACTTCCTGTGGAGCCCCGCTTCTGGAAAAAAGAGTTCATCATAAAGAGTTATTTTTTCTCAGTGAAGTCGGGCAGCTGCTGGCCCTTTGGGTTCCGTTGCCTTATCCCTAATTTCCCTACCTTCAGCTCAATTTCTCTCTCGTGCCTAGTTTTGCGTTGAAGTCTTCCATTAACACCGTGTTGTGTACATATATCCTCATACTTTTCTTACACCCTCCTCATGGGAATATGTCGAGGTTGTTGCGTAAACCTGTATGACCTTTAGCGAATAACATTTGGTAATTCTGAGTACGTAACCCACATCGACAAACTTCCAAACTTTATAACGTTGTTAACGGGAGACTTGTGGACGATAAATCCAACACCTCCTTGTGACAGACGTTCGCCCTCCCAGTTATAGAATACGTTGCCGGATTCGAGGATTACCGTATCTTCCCCGTCCCTTTGGACCTCAGATAATCCTATAATAATGATTTTTTTTATTACGCGAACACTACACATTGAAATAATACTAGTTTTTATGGATTTTATCGATTGTAGATCGGAACAAAAGTTAAATTTTTATCTATGGTAACCACTGTAAACTATGACATTTGGACGTTGAACATCTCAGTCCTTCCCGTGACCATGGGTGCTGTAAAGCTCTCGAAACGTCGGGTATTTATAGTTAAATATACGCGATAAAATCCGTAAAAACTAGTATTATTTCAATCCTATAATATTCCATAGCAACTTGTCTATCTCTTCTTCCAGCTCCAGGATCTTCTCTCGGAGTGCGTGTGTTATATGTTGCCAGGTCGAGTCGTCTTACGTGGCAATCGAACCTCCACCGGTGGTTGGTCGCCATCGAAGCCAGGAATAGCGGAGCCGTCTCTTCTTAATTCTCATCATGGGGGATATATTGGCATAGTTGCCACGCTTGGCAAGCGGGTTGTGACCGCAGTTTTTTATTTTAATTTTGCTGTTTGCATAAGGATGCTGTCGCCCATCTTCTGCCTCAGTTTCCCTCTGTCGCTTCTTACAACACCCACAGGAAGATATGGGATAGTGGGTATTCTTGCCCACCAATACATGGGAACCCTACTAGAGACCAACATAACCAGCGTGTAGATATTAATTACATGACGGCTCCGTGGCGCAGTGGCTTAGCAATGATTTACAGCGCTAAGGGCCGCGGGTTCGAATCCCGCACGGAACGAGTATTTGTATGGCCTACAAGTAATTGTTCCGGGTCTGGATGTTTGTCCTTGTGCAATTTATGTTTGTAAACTGCCTCCACGATACAGGAGAAAATCCCAGTGTGGAAGTAACGTTTTTTTTTTTGAGAAGAAAAAATTAATTAAAAATTTTGCCCAATCCACCTGTGTCTACGGCCGAGTAACAACACTAGTCAGCGAAATTCGGTAATTCCGCCATTAGTCTGTCGTGAGACCTTCGTCGCCAGCAAAGGCACACCGCGTCCTCAGAATGTAACCCTCCTTAACCTGACCAAAATGTGGTTGACGACGGAGCCATAGATAAGATTCGCCACTAGGGTGAGAAAGGCTGATACTTCCTTATGCTTGTTTTTCCCTGCCTATGGCGACCACATATAAGGGGTTGGGCACCGTTATGCTGTCGGAGTAGAGGCCGGGGGGGGGGGGGGGGGGGCACTAGTGCATAGTGCGGCTGCAAATAACCCCACTATTGCCCCCCGCAGAGTTGCGTATGCTTAGTCATATGCCCATGAAGTAAAGTGGCGCAAGCAGACGAGGTTGACATTTTAATAAGAAAATATGCACCTTATTTTTCTCAAAATCAAATTTTGTTTCAGGCAAGTACTAGAAATTTTAGCAGCGGTACGCAACGAAAATATTGACGATTTAGCCGAAGCTATTTATAATAATACTAGTAAATTATTTTTTTATGATAAATAGTTAAAGTACTGCACTTTACGAGCGACGACACGGCGGTATCTTCCCTGGCCCACTCTGAAATGAGATGAGCATTGTGCCGGGCTGTGGCAATCACAATCTGGGGAACTGAAAGCAAATTATTAAAAATTATTGTTATAATTATTGTTTTATTTCAATTTTTACCATAAATATAATTTTGCATAATAATTCATCTGAGAGAAAAGGAGCTATAAGTCTAAAACTTGGTGATAGTGATATTAAAAAGGTCTCGCTGGGTTTCTTGTTGGTCGTATCCAAAACTGAGGTTTTTCAGAACTAGTGGTAAAAGCAAAATATGACTTAAGTATTTTTGTTTTATTTATCTACTATATATGCCGGCTATTCACGATACGCGCGTATATCAACTTCTAAAGTTTCATCGTACTAATCGAATATAGGAAACAAACTCGATCCCCGCCGGCACGAATAAAATAACTAATTGCAATTGTAAGTGATGATTTACCACGTGATCAGCAGTGGGACGTATGTATAAAGGCAAAATTACTCTTTCTATAGAATTTTTCATATTTAGAATAGTTCTGACTTTTAACCATGACCACTAATGAATGGCGGGCGACCCTTAACATGAATGTTAATGAAACAAATTGGCATAATGAAAATTAATACCCTTAACCAAACCACAATACCTATTATTTAACCCAAATAAAACGGTTCTTGTAATTTTCACACAAAAACGAATGCTGAATAAATACCACCTCACAAGACTCTTCAGCACAAAACTCCAGCTATCCTCTGAGGTAAAATATTTAAGTCTTACCTTGGAAAATAAACTGAACTGGAACAAACACATAGAAAACAAGGCCAGTATAACTTTCTGGCATTGCAAAAAGACGATTGGTAAACGATGGGGTCTGACGCCAAAAAATATAACTGGCTATACAAAATCGTGATTCGGCCCATGTTCACATACGGTGCTCCGGTATGGTGGACCAAGACACTTCAGAAACCATTAAGAAGCCTCAGCGTTACCAGAGACTGGCTAACCCCGCTTCACGTATTAAAGTTACTACGTAAAGCTAAAGTCACTTCTTATTGTATATTACGTATACAATAAGAAGTGACTTTAGCTGCCATTAAACTTAAGACCCTAAATCTACCGATGGAATAAGAGTAGTCCCCATGCAGGTATAATTTACTCCAAAATTCATATCTTACAAGCCAAATACGATAAGATCCCTGAACAACTTGTGCTTGATAAGAAATACAAGATACAACTAAATGAAACTAACCAGCTAGAATGTTTAAACCCAAAACAAATGAAGGTACAGGATCTGGAACTTTCTCGGAAGAGCTCAATATCCACATGTACACCGCTGGGTAACTACAACACAGTCTTTCAGGAAGAATGTATTTGTATCATTCAAGCGGCCACAGCAATGGATGCTAGGAAGGTTAAAGACTCCTCCATCAGAATACTGGCCGACGGCATGGCGGTACTACAAGCTCTGAGTTGTAAAGTGGTAAACTCGGTACTAATATATGAGTGCCATCAACAACTAAATAAGGTATGTATACACAACAATGTGACTTTGCAATAGATAAAGGGACAGTGGATCCAGAAGCAACGATGCAGCAGATGAACTGGCCAAAGAGGATCGGCTCTGGCCACTATAGGGCAAGAACCAATCATACCAATCCCCTCTGGTGACATTCGTTCACTGGTGCGTAGAAACTTCACTAATCAACACGTAAATTTTTGGAAAAATCTAGTAGACTAGACAAGCTAGGGAGGCCCTGCCTGAAATAAAGAGTCGTTTAACCAAAGTTTTAATGAGATTGAGAACAAACCAAAAATCAGAATAACAAGTGCTATTCCCTGTGATGGCTCCTTTAACAAACATTTATTTAACAAAGGTGTTGCAGATAGTCTCATAGTAACCTGTGCAGGGTATGTATGGGGGAAGAAAGAAAAGGCGGACAACGTGTTGCCAGTGGCATAGCTAGCGGCTCAAACTGATATCACAAAAAATTTGCCAGAACATAAACACAACAGGATGTAACACGGCTTTTATCATGGCAACTCAATTGTTTGTGAAAATAATGCTCCTAAATGAATTATAATTATTCTTCATCATAAATCCCGATTGAGTGTGTGGTTTAACACAAAAACAGTGTATTGACCGGATGATTTCTGCATTTGGTGATGAAGCCCCATCCAAAACCACAATTTATCGCTGGTTTGCTGAATTTCAACGTGGACGTGTCAAGCTCAGTGATGATCCCTGTCAAGGTCGTCCAAAACTGCAGTCACCCAAGAAAACGTTGATGCTGTACGTAAGCTGATTGAGGAAGATCGACATGTGACATACCGCGAAATTCAGGCAACTTTAGACGTTGGCATGAGTCAAATACAAATAATCTTGCATGAACAATTAGGTGTAAAAAAGTTGTTTTCCCGATGGATACCTCATTCGCTCTGTGAAGAGCAAAAAGCGATTCGCGTTACTTGGTACGTCAGAACTCTCGAAAGATTCCACGCAGAATCCTCAGGATCGTCCAGGTGACGAATCCTGGATATACGCGTACGAACCCGAAACAAAAAACCAGTCACGAGTTTGGGTGTTCGAAAATGAGTTAAAGTCAACAAAAATTGTTCGGTCACGGAGTGTTGCAAAAAAATGGTGGCTACGTTTGTCTCCAAAACCGGCCATGTTACGACTATTCCTCTTGAGGGACAAAGAACGGTTAATTCAGAATGGTATGCTAGCTTTTTTTGCCACAGGTCGTTTCTGAACTCCGCAAAGAGAACTGCAACCGCCGCATCATCCTCCATCACGACACCGCACACAGCCGCACACAGAACAAAAGAGTTTTTAGAGAAAGAAAACTTAGAGTTATTAGACCATCGCCGTACAGCCCCGACCTAAGCCCTAATGATTTCTATACTTTCCCTAAAATAAAGAATAAATTGCGTGGACAAAGATTTTCGTCACCTGAAGAAGCTGTGGACGTCTACAAAACGGCCATTTTAGAGACCCCAACTTCCGAATGGAATGGTTGCTTCAATGATTGGTTCCATCGTATGGAAAAATGTGTCAAATTTTGCGGAGAATACTTCGGAAAGCAATAAATACATTTTTAAATAGTAATGTTGTGTCGCTTCCTTGATTCCCGAAATTTGCAGTGTCGCCCTCGTAATAATAATACTGTTACGAGCTTGAGGTTCGTGACAATAAAAACTGCCGATTGAATTACCAAAATTAACACTTTAATTCACTTTACACTAATAATTAATCACACTGATTCACTTTATTCCGCTCCGAAGCTTCGCTTGTCTCGCCAAATTCAATACTTCCTCGATCGCATCTTGCAGCGCCTTTAAATACACATTGTCACCGAAACATCCATAATATTCAAGTAAATACGCGCGCCAATCGACAAGGCATCGAAAGTTCGAGTGTCGGGCTTCTAGAAGCTTAGTTCTTCGTTTCCATACTAGATGGCGCTGTCGGTTGAAAGATTAGTGATGTCATTTTCTGGAAAGCTCCCCTCTCTCGTCCCCGACACTAGATGGCGCTAGTGCCGGGTACATGACGTCAACTTAGGCGCGCAACAATACGTATCATCTTATTATGTACCTATGCTCGTTTGTCATCCTTATTCTATATTTAAAAAAATCTTGTTCTACAAAAATTGACCCTGACGTGGGCTGTTCACCAATTATGTAAGGAAATTGTAACTAAATATGCACTTTTAGAATGCGACATTACGGAAGTGTTTACCGCAATTTTATTATTTTATACAATATGTATCTGTCACTTTTGCAACAGCGGAAAGGTCATTCCTCAGAATAAAAATAAATAAGTTACAGCCTATATACGTCCTACTGCTGGGCACAGGCTTCTCATTTCTGAGAGGGTTTTAGGGCAAGGAAAATTTTAGTAATATCACGTTACCAGTTAACACGTGCTCGGCGGGGAAGGAAAATATCGTGAGGAAACCTGCTGTTCTCCAAAAATCGTTGAAGCAACACGACGGACATTTACTTTCCCCAAAATTAATATAATCTAAATTTATTTAAGAAATAATATGGTTCAAACTCGACTCCGACATTTGCCACTCATAGCAATCGAAAGCAAAGCTGCATCAAGTCTAGATTTAACTGTGGTTATTGATAATTTCGCAAAATTAAAGACAGAAAAAGTTAAAATAAAATTATTTATTCGGCCGAGTAAAGAAAAGCGGAGATCTCTCGCCGGGCAAGGTGATCAGCGCGGGGAGCTGCCAATACTCCGTTTTTTTCCTTGCCGACATTCAATCAGTAAATACCGCACTTCGGAACTTTGATGGCGTGATTTAAGCTTAGGGCGCGCGACGACAGCGCCGTCACATCTAATTCATTTTATTATCTACCTATATTATAGACCTATATGATTAACCGTAAATCTTTTCCATCAGTTTATTTTTTCTAACTTTCACTCTCGACTTAGTTCGCCTCGCATGGATCAACGTTGAAAATTATTGCGTGCGCTCCTTTTATCGAATGGAAGTATCTTATTTTCTACTCAGGTCGAGCAAAATTTTATCCAAATCCTTCCAGTATTTTTAAGATGCGTAAGCATCATAGTAGTCTGTGTTTTTAAGTAAAAGTATAACAAAACAATAAAATTTCACTTTTTTAAAATATTATTAGGAAGAGTGTTTAAATATGATCTGCTGCGTTACACATAAAGCTCTTGGTAGCTTTGCTTTATTATGCCCTGCAGTGGGTGCTAAGCAGCTGACGATGAAGTAGTTTTGCACCTTCAAAGTATTTAGTTTAAATAGGGCCCTTATTTCATTCTTGCTTCGAGGCTCTTGGTTACATTGCTACGCCACTGCGTGTTGCTGACATGTCACACGCAAAATATGCGCTTAGACGTGGAATTGGGGACAACAGCCCGTCTTTATCCTAAGGCTGCTCTTCATGTTGGCTAACATAGTGGCGAATGTTGTGGCAAAGATATTAATTAGCACAGAGT